CCGCGGCCCCAGCCCCCGCCTCGGCCTCTACGGCTGGAGCCTTACTACCCCCCCCCCCCCCCCCCCCAAAAAATAATCAAATAAAAATAAATATAAAAATATTTATACCCCTAACTTTAGGTTGTATTTTTATACACATTGCAATACAATTCTAATACTCGTTTTTTTCATTACAGATACCTCAAAAGATCTCTCTGCTTGGTTCAATCTGTTTGCCGACCTGGATCCGCTGTCAAACCCGGACGCGATCGGCCGAACCGATGAAGAACAGGAGCTCCTGAACGCTTAATCTGCCCTGTTACGGATGCACTTTACGCTCTTGTCGCACAATCGACAGTTCATGAGAGGCCTACAGACGCCTGTCCTGGACAGATATCAGCACTGATTTCTTTATGCCATAGCAGTTAACCTTAATTATTTCATGAAGAAATATTTGCTGCCAAAGGAAATGTTCCATTTGCTAGTATTGTCAAGGCAGTTTGATTTGCCATTGGCAGTTTTGATCTTGTATTACATAAATATATATATATACTTACACAGCATCATCAGCAACAGTAAGTAGTTTGGGTTTGTATGTTGTGATATTGCATGATTTCAGATTTGTTATCATTATTTATTTTAGATGTTGCCTTGATCAGTTATGAAAGAAATGGAAGGTATTATTGCAAATGTTATTTAAGTAGTTAAATTATGCATTTTGTAAATTATGCATTTAGTGCCGTCAACTAAAACTAATGCTGCATTTCAGAAGCCTTATATATGAGAGGATATCACAGTCCTTCAATTCATTTATTTGAATGAACATTATATATTATATTGTCTTATGGAAACTTCATCTGATGTGAAAGCAGCTAATAGGTCAAGGTGTACATAAATTTAACACATTATTTAAGATGTACTGTATGGTTATGCTATAAAAAGCAATTGTGCTCACTTTTTACAGGCTTGTTTCTGGAAGTGTTTTATTTTTAATTCATTTATGATGGTGGATTTTTACTTCCAGAACCTGGCTATTGTACTCTTATTTTTGTCATGAATACCAATAAAACATTGGTAAACAACTTGGTCAAACCAGGTCGTATGAAGTAAGCGTTTATGTATATGTTGGTTAACTGTAGGCTATTTCTTAGTGCTGATTATGTGCTTGTGTGCCTGAAAACTGATTCCCATGTACTACAAATTACCTTTCACCATACATATTAAACTACAAACATGCAAGTGCAATAAAATGTAATACAACTTTATAAATGTGATTCCACATAACACAATACACAGTGGGACCAAAAGGCCTTACTGAAGTCAGTTCATATCAGTGCTTTACTAGACAAAGTAAAATATGCATCACCATAAATCATATCCTACTACACTAAATAATGGCATACCATTTTCTGTATTTTTTGTGTTGTACTCGTGTGTTTCTTCCATTTCTATTATGACTGTAACCCTGAATGGCATGAAATGAATAAAAGCAGCTTCATTTTACCCAATAGTGTGACTATACCTTTTATAATGTACATACACAAATTGCATGCTGCCACTTGAAATGTTCCTTTAAAAATATTTAGAAAGAAAATAATTTCAATTGTTCTCAGAAGAAAGAAAATTCTGTTTCTGGATCTATATGCAGATTAAACATTTTCATGACTAATAAGTATTAAAACTAATATGTGCACATACAGTATTACTGGTACTTTTTTTTTTTTTTTTTTTTTAGAATGTACATTGCTGTTTAATGTAAACATAAAAAAATCCCCCAACCAAATAAATATAGTTTAAAAAACAGGAAGCATGTAGTTGGAGTAAAACAAATTAATGCAAATATTATACTTTGAAAAATGTCACTTTAATGTGAGCATCCAGCAGTCATATTTATACACAATAACAGTGTCACATGAATAATAGGCTAAAAACACAAAGCCATTTTTACTGTTCTGTTTGTAAACGTATGAACGTTAGGGCTGGGCAGCATATTGAATATGCACAATATATTCGCAATCATTTTGCTGGCAATACAATGACTGTTGGGGTGAAATGATGTTTCTCCTACAGGAAAAAAATATATATCATCAAACGACAAAATATTGAAACATAATTAGCTATATCGTCCAGCCCTAATGGAAGTTAAACCTGAGTTATGTGTTAAGGCATGAAGCACATTTTTGGCCGTTGATTATCTGTCATATCTAATGTGTTTTACCTGGTTAGTAGGATGTGCTGCAAGGTTAAGTAAAGATTTGTGTATTCCAGCAGAATTACATGAAACCCCAAAACAAAGTTCAACATAATGGTCCTTTTGTACAACCATTAGCAAGTACGAAATTTCCTAGAAAAGTCAGCTGTTTGAGATCTGAGCTGTGATTGGCTAACTGAGCAGCAGGCACTTCCTAATACTGCAGTGTTCAGACGACACAGGCCGCAGCTCTGCAAATGAACCAGACGTCTGTCCTGAGCTGGGGCGAGCAGCAGCATCTGACGGGAAAAGAGAGGAGCACAGCAGCTTCACTGGACAGAAGGCCGAGCCGCTCGGAGTGAAGTTCACCTTGTTTCTGTCTGGGCAGGAGAAGATGGGAAAGCCTGGTGTCCTACAAGTGCTACAAGGAAATAAAAGCAATAATATGAGTAATATATAAAAGCAATAATATTTATGCATACATAAAATAGTATATGCTATTACATATATGTCACTATTAATGCAACTATTATTAATGCTATTATCCCTATTAAAAAAGTTAACAAAAATACAATTAATATTATATGCCTTTATTTACAGTACATGTATATATTAAAAAAAAAACTAAAATATCATACAAATATGTATGTATATACACACACACACACATTTGTGATATTGATATATCTGTGATATTTATATATGTATATATACAATTTTTACAATATACAAATTATAAAAAAAAATTAAAATATAAAAATATACAATTCTTTTAATAACAGCAAATATTGATACAATTAAAGTATATGCAATACTGTAAATATAAACACATTTGCAAATATTGCATATTAGTATTTTGGCAAAAAAATTGTTCTTTGTGATATAACTATTAATATAACTATTATTAGTACTATTATAACTATTAAAAAAGTAAACAAAAATTATATTAATAGTATATGCTACTATATATGTCACTATTAATACAACTATTATTATATCACTACTAAAAAGTAAACAAAAATGCTACTAATAGTATATGCCATTTTATAAATATTTATGTGATTGATTTATATATACATATATAATATAAATTCAAAAAAATATCTTATATATATATATATATATATATATATACACACACACACACACACACACACACACACACACACACACACATACATATGTGTGTGTGTATATATTTAAATATATAATTTAATATATTGTGATATTTATATATGCATAATATATATAAATCAAATAAATATATAATTACAGTTATTTTTAGCAAATACCTAATAAAATGAAAGTACATGTAATATTACTGTAAATATACACACCTTTTTAAAAATAACAAATGACTGGAAAAGTCATGATATTGTCCACAAAAAACATGTCTAAACATGATGCTTTAAACTGAGTGCTAAACTGCTATCAAAACTGAGCTCGAGCTGTTTTACCTGCAAACGTCAAGCAAAACCTTGTACCAGCAAACACAAAAACCAAAGCATGCTCTCTGGATGTACACAGCAAAAATCCAGGAGGAGTATTTAACAAATATGGTTTCAAAAAGCAGAAAGCAAGGCATTTTATGAGAACCGAGAACGCAGTCAATGGTACTTACATGAGATCTTCAAACACTTTGACTTTCTCGCAGCCCTCAGGAGGCTCACGTTTAAAGGTGTAACTGTTGTTGGGTTTGGGAGAGCTGGAAAACTGAGGCAGAGGTGAACCACACCTGTAATCTGAGAGGACGAATCGAGCGTTAGTTTAAGCAAATCTGCCCTTATAAACATACTGTGAAAACAGCACAGCACAGTGATGGTGTCAGAGGGCAGCATCGTGGGACTGGTACTGAACGAGCGCTACCTTTCTCAGCGTGGGCGGCAGGAGAGCAGCAGTAACAGGGACTGCAGGAGATGTGTGTGTGATCATGAAGAGGAGGAACAGGAGCACGGCCGCCGTCCCGCACCTCCAAAGCCTGAACCAGGAGGACAAACACAAAAATAATTACAAAAGTGTTACGAAGTTGAAATGATTCACTGAAACCTGTGTGTGTTTGTACCTTCTCCTCCTCTCTCCCCCAGTCTTCACAGATGAAGACGTTCTCCAGCTCCTGGTTAACACAGTCACTATAGCTGGGCATTCGACAAATGACGGGTCTGGAACGGACCATATCAGATGAAGAAGCAGAGAGCCGCTTTGGCTGGAAAACAAAAAGCAGCAGTAACCTGATTAATGTCAAAGTCTGAATTTATCAAATCTATATGTATAGGTTAATCTCACACAAATGTTACCCCAAAAGATAAAAAGATTAAAATATGAAATCACATTTTGCTTAAAGAAACAGAAGCTTGTTTTTTAGGATCATTATGGTTTTTCATATTGAATGTTTTGCATACATTATAATTTTCTGCATTATATAAAAAAACACAATACATATATATACATCAGAGGTGCTCAAAGCTACTAATACGAAGGACCAAAAATTAAAACTGATCAAGGGGCCATAAGCCAAAAATGTTGTAGCATATGTTGCATTATATCTACCTATATATTACATTATATTATATATTATAATATATTTAAATGTTTAAATAAACAAATATAAATAAAATATATTTTTTAATGATTTTAAATAAAAATTCAACATTTTGTCTACATTTTAATGGAAAAATTAAACACAAAAATGTTAAAACAAAAATATAAATTAAAAATGAAGATATGCTTCAATGGTATGTTTTTTCCTACTTGTTTCTTTTCTTTTATGATATATATTATGGGCCAAATCAAAGCAGTTCTTGTGTGTGTGTTTTTTTTTATATAGAATTTAAACAGATTTTTTTAAAATAAAACTTAAAAAAAAATGGACATTTATCTGATGTCGTTTTAAATACATTAATATCAATTAAATACAAATATGACTTTTTTAAAGAAATTAATAGTAAAAATGTTTATAATGTAACAAAATATTTATTTCAAATTAATACAATTTTGTTGTAATAAAATTATTTTTAATAGAAAATATTTTTTTTTATAGAATTTAAACATTTTACATTTATCAGATGACTTTCTGATGACAAATCGTTTAAATATTTGGGGTCAATATAATTTTTTTTTAAAGAAATTAATAGTAAAGATATTTATAATGTAACAAAAAAATATATATTTCAAATAAATGTTGTTCCTTTGAATGTCATCACAGGAATAAAATACATTTTATATATATATATTCAAAAAGAAAACAATTTTAATATGTAATATTTCACAATAATTCTTACCACATTTTTGATTAAAATAATTGCAGCCATACAAATATATCATACAAATATGTATGTATGCATGTATGTATACACACACACACACACACACACACACACACACACACACACATTTGTGATATTGATATATTTGTGATATTTATATATGTATATATACAATTTTTACAATATACAAAATATACAATTTTTTCAAAATATAAAAAATATGCAATTTTTATAACAGCAAATATTGATACAATTAAAGTATATGCAATACTGTAAATATAAACACATTTGCAAATATTGCATATTAGTATTTTGGCTAAAAATTATTCTTTGTGATAAAACTATTGATATAAATATTATTAGTACTATTATAACTATTAAAAAAGTAAACAAAAATGATATTAATAGTATATTCTATTATATATGTCACTATTAATACAACTATTATTATATCACTACTAAAAAGTAAACAAAAATGCTACTAATAGTATATGCCATTTTATAAATATTTATGTGATTGATTTATATATACATATATAATAAAAATAAAAAAATATTATATATATATATACACACACACACACACACACACACACATACATATACATATATATATATATATACATACATACGCGTGCGTGTATATATTTAAATATGGTGAGCATATGAGACTTCTTTCATTTTAAAAATGATTGTGAATGAATGAATGTTTGAAAATGAATGTTTCTGATTGCAAAACCCCAAAATTCTGAAGATGACTGCATACAGTATAACCCTAGCAAGTCGATGTACAGTACCTGGGCCGGATTCAGATGCATCACTTCTTCTTTCTCCTTGATACTGCGGCTGCCCTGCAAACTGCGCTGGAGCTGCTGACGGAGTTTTGCAATCTGGAAATCACATTTTTACCATCAGCAAAAGATGGAAGGAAGAAACAAACAGTGACACAAAATCTAAGCTCAAGCCCTACAGCCCTACACCAGATGACTGCTGTATACTAGATGACATGACCTACAATTAACCAAATATAACAGCTGTATCTAACCTCACAGGTTTCACCAAACAATGCTCAATAGATGTTTATATTGCCACAGCTTGGGATTCCCAAACTGACTTTGCAAGTGCACAAGAGCCAATAATGGCAAGTCAAGACATAATGTGTGGGTATGTTTGAGGATCATTATGGGAAAAGAGGCCAATTATACGCCCAGAGTATGTCTATAAACACATTACCACCCATCACTTGAAATACTTTTAATGTGTAAAAACGGTCGCACCTCTATGAGATGGTCAGCGCTGCCCCATGATGCCGAGCGTTTGTGCACGTTAACCTCTCCTTCATCCTCAGTCCAAAATCCAGGAGTCTGCAATAAACATGGTAAAAACATGGTTAAAACACATTCACCATGCAAATGCTGACTATAGCTTGTTATGGCTGATACAGAATATATTCTTGAAGTCATGTGACCTACATATGTGAATTTTTCGTAAAACAACAACAGGATATTTGTGGTTGGCAAACAGCATGTGTGTCGCTTTGACCGAAACCACAACACAACGATGAACAAACACCCGGAGCTACAGACAGCCACAGAAGATGGACAATATGCACCACAAATAAGTGCATCTTTTTCCAGACACCGGTTTTCGGTTGAACCTGCACGTGTCATGTTGCAACTTGAACTTCCAGGCTGTCTTGAATGTCTTCTGTTTTGTGGTATGCCAGCTGATAAACTTCTGAGAAAGCTAAGGTGAAGGGTGGAGGAATATTTAGAAATGTTTCAACTGTTTTAGTACATGTAATAAGAGACAATAATAAAAAGCTTTCACTTTATGGATAAAAAAAAAAAATAGAAGAAAACAAGTCGTACTGGTTTGTAACGACATGAACCTTGTGGAAAAAGAAGTACAGTACACCTTTGTATACTTTTAAAAAGAATAAACTAAAATATACTTCAATGTAATTTCTATTGCAATGTCATGTATTTAATATGTATATATATATATATATATAAATAACAATGTCATTACAATACAAAATGAAATGGCAAACTAAGTGTAATTTATTTTAAAGAAAGAAGCAAATAAGCAAACTTTTCAATCTGGATTATATATTAAAAAAAAAAACATGTTTTAAGTGATAAAACAACAGAAATGAAACTCAAAATTGGTCACTTTGGTCATTTTGTGTTTGTGAAATACTAGCATTACATTAATATTAGTAAGTCACTCAGCAAAAATGATGAAAAAAGTAAAGTAGTTCTGTGTGGCTTGATCACTCATACAGGATGCCTGGGGTTGGTACGGCTCTCGCGGCCACTGTCCAATTAGGTACTGCTCAGGCAGCTTGTCCAATGAGGGCGGCTGTCGACTGGCTGATCGAGCTTGTGAGAAAAGAATAGGCGTTTTGGATTATGTAAGCAGTGGACAGTGATATGAGACATTACTGCACTGCAGTGACAGAGAGGAAGTTGGTGGGTGTCACTGGAAACTGATGAGCTTTTGCCTGCACTGTCATAATGGCACTGAAACAGAACAAGAACAGATTGTATTTATGATGGAATGGAAGTAACAGAAACTTGATGTTTACATTTTCTGACGAAAATTTGACTAGTGTTTGACCATGCAAAACATACTTGCTTACAGGCCTAATTCAAGTCTGATGATAGTCTGATCTCTAAAATTTAAGGGGGTCTGAATACTTTCCGTACCCACTGTATATACACACACACACATATATTATATTATATTATATTATATATTTGTAAGCCACTGTATATGTAAATATATTAACTGAAATTAACTAATTGACTACAAATGAGTGTTCTCACATGAAAGTTACGCTCTGAGGACATACAAGGAGGAAATGAAACAAAGTGAAACAGCTCACAGTGAAACCCACATGCATGTACACACATGCACCAACAGCTGAAACTCAAAACAACTCGCTTGCATGCAGCCCACAGAGCGATTCCTGTGAGAGTTTGCTCTCTGCTCCAGCTCTGCAAACACAAATGTCAAAGCCTATGCAAAAGAGCCAACAAAACGGCACTGTCGGTTTACCCTCTGCTCACTGTTTTACACCATTGTACCGAAAGAAAACAACTCAGCAAGTGACACTCATTATCAGACGAGTCGCAGCACGGCCGGTTACAGTTCAGGCCTCGAACACTGAAGCGGTCTGAATGATAACCATGAACTCTGAAACATTTTCAGCCCAGTACACACACCTTTTCTCAATGCACTTGTTGGGGAACGGCTACACTACATTCACTTGCAGATTGCAGCGAGGCAGCTGCAAGGTCTTTGTGTGAAGGAGAAGCGTTTCAAATGCAAATCTACACAAGCATCAGGCACTCCATGAGGACGGGAGATCGAGAGCTGTCCGACTTAATAGGTACAGCCTGCCTGGCCAGAACCGTTTAGACAATAGTAGTTTACTCATATAAGAACAGGATATAAAAATGTGAATGTTTCTTGAAATTCTTTGCTGAACTTGCACAATTAAACACTTGTGAACAATTGGTAACACATTTGAATGGAATACCAGCTTAATAACTGTATAGTACCTACTTAGTATGTACTGTAAAACACAATGCCATTATAAATGTCTCCAAAAACAACGTGCTACATTGTTGTCACATGACGTTGCATGTTTAATTCAGCAAGTAGTATGAAGTTATGGTACATTCAAGTCATGTCGGAAAGACTGTATTTACGAGTTGAATGTATGTGAACACTACGACAAAGTCATAATTACAAGAAACTATCTTTAAGCCCTGAGTTTCCAAGTTTGGGGCATGTCAGTGAGTTTTTACATAGAATTAGCAAAGCAGTATGTACAAAATATTGTAGTACTATACAACAATGAAGGAATATGTAACAATTAAATGCACAGTAACTCACTTATGCGCATTCTTTATTCATCATTTTTTTTAAGTAGTTAATAGTTAATTTTTTGTAGAAAAGGTACATCGTCATCTTCCTCAAAACAAAGTGACTTGAACACAACTGACGTCGTAATTACGACTTCCCAACTTGTAAAACAAACATCCCAGGAGGATTTGAACGCACCTTGGAAAAAAAAAAAAGCAATTTTGTAATATTTCAAAATAATACAAAATATATGAAGGTTTGGCACACTGATCAAAAAAGAAATCAACAAACAGAAGGGTCAAAACTGAAGTCACTTCCAGTTCATCTATCACACTCGAAATGGAAGGTCAAGTTGGAAGCATTGCATTGTGGGATACAGCATTCCTCTAAATGTTGACTAATGTTATTAAAATAGCATAAAAGCTATAGAATAAAATTGCACAGCTGTGTAGGAAATCAATTGACTGGGACATTGGTCGATTATGCAGCTTAGCGTCATTATTATGAGATATAAATGTCAAATGCCACTATTGACCAATCAGAATCAAGTCCAGGGAGCAATGCAATACAAAGAAAATATATGATAGTTCACAAAATGGTTCATAAAGTGGTCTGTGGTTCATACGCTATGAACATTTTGTATCATTCTGAAATACACTGAATTTACGGTTGGATGACAGAATGTATGGTTCTTTCTTACAAAGATAGAAAGAAAGAAAGAAAGAAAGACTTACATGGCCATAAAACGAAACAACTCAATTAACTAATGTTCTTTTTACAGAAACATACTGTACATTAACACACACACACACACACACACACACACACACACACACACACACACACAAAGTTGCAGTCTTTATCTCAAGGTCTTGAGATCTCTGATGACCACAGAAATGGACTGGATCGGGGTCTCAAGGGGCCTATTCTTGGTCTGGATCTGGGTCTTAGTGGGTCTAGGTTTGGTTTGGGTGCTATCTCTAACTTTGATATAATACAATGGCTTTAAATCTTTCCTTATTTTCTTTGTACAGGATCTGACAATTCTGCCAAACTGTTCTGACTGTAAGTGAATCTGTATTAAATGACACTGGGCTTACACAAAAATTTCTTAAGGCTATAATAAACAACGTTGGGGGAAATCAGTGATTTAATCCCAAATGCTGGTAACAGATTCTATTCAGACCATAAAATATCTATAAAACCTGAGGAGGAAAAGTGTATTCAATAAATATCCAATGTGGAAGATGCAGTTAAATCAAGCTCACGTTAAATATGAGTTACATGCCTACGCAAATGAAGAACAAACTCAATAACTGAAATAAAAAAGAGGTTACAACTACAAATACATTATAAAAATAAAATTTGTATACAAAATAAAGCTTACCTCTCCCTGCTGTTATAAAGTGATTCTCTGATGGGATCCTGGTGGGCTTAGTGGTTTGCTTCATGTTTGCAGCATGTGATGATGATGATGATGATGAAGGACTTCTGCTGTGTCTTGAAGAGGAGAATGACGTTGATCACTCCATCTCAGAGGGACACTGTTAAGAGACAGGCTGAGGTCTGGAGTTACTGTTGCACTTAGTGCGTTTTTGCGCACGAGACACAATAATAAACTCCAGAACGAGAACTGAAAACGTGTTCATGCGAAAAGCCGAGTTATTATTATTACACTTCGCTTCCTCTTAACCTACTGTGCGCGTACGAGCCTGTCGTTCCCTGTAAAACTGAATCAAAGTGGACGCAAAGTTCAGAAGCAGGTCCAAACTCTCCAGTGCTCCTGCGCTGACAGATGTGTAGCGGTAAAGGCAGTGGGCGGGAGGTTGGCACTTGCACGCTGAATCTGATTGGAGCCGAGACCAGCGACGCTCGTTCCTTATTGGCTTATGCGTTCCTTCTTACAACGAAGAACCAATGAGCTCACTGCTGGGGTGGAGTTTAGTTTTGTGTGGAAAACAGGCATTCTGCCTTGGAGCTGTGGAATGTTTTTATGTTGTCTCATATTTTGAGCAGAGAAAGTGTAGGAGTTTTGTTTATATTCTGGAAATCATTACTTGAATTATCTTAAAGGTATAGTAAAAAAGCAAAACATTATTTACACAGCCTCATTCCGTTCCAAACCCGTATGACGAACGCAAAAGCTCACGTTGACTCCATCTGTTAAACTCCATAAATGGCAAAAACATCATGAAAGTAGTCTTTACAAACAGGAAGTTGTTGTATGCAAATTGTGTGAGAAACAGACCAACATTAAAGTCATTATTAACCGAACACCTCCCCTCCTTCCTCATTTGTTCTTGTTCACTCAAAACGGCCTTGGGCCTGATGCTCACTTTGATGCCAATCAGCAAAATGCTATTAGTCTTAATGACAAAGCACATCCAAATTCACACTGACAAATTGACAAAGCACATTCTTTTCCATCCAAATTCTCCAAGGGAAGACCATTGTCATGGGTTCCCTCAGGAATGTCTTTTTTGTTTTGTTCTACACCATAAATTACAGCCATAGCTCAAAAGTGAATTGGACGCATGACTGCAATTTGTTTTGCAGAACAAAATGTGAAAGTCTCAACAAGTAATGTTAACCACAGATCATATTTATCACAGATCATAATACATTACTCTTGAATCCCCGCCCCCCCTTTCTGGTCAACTCAATGGCTTTATTGTCATGAAAATGTCACAATGCAATAAAAAAAAAAAAAACACTTGTATGGTCCTATAATATAGGTCTAAAATAGGCTTTTCTGGGTGAACTATGACATGTTCGTACACCTTTTTTTTTTTTTTACAGTTAGTAAAGATTTGAAACTTGATCTGAAGAGTTTCAAGGGGTCATATGATGCGATTTCAATGTTTCCTTTCTCTTTGGAGTATGTCCCCACTGGATGCAACAAATGCCTCGTTTATAATGGGTTTTAATGTTTTTGTCTCGTCGCTCCGGTTGGACAAGGCATCACAGTATGGTAGGGGCGTAACATTTCCGTCACACGCTTGAGGTATTCGGCCAATCACAATGCACTGGATAGCTGGCCAATCAGAGCACACCTCGCTTTTCAGACCGATGAGCTTTGTAAAAATCGACGTGTTTCAGAAAGGCGGGGCATAGAGGAGAAACAATAATGTACAGTGTGGAAAATAATGTGTTTTTTGAACCTTAAACCGCATAAACACATTTCATTACACCAAATACACAAAATAATGTTCTTTTTAGCAACAACATATGACCCCTTTAAATCTTCATTTCTGCTACTACATATCTTTGTCATAGTTCATTAAACTGAAAATCTGTATTGATCTAATTGAAGCAAACAAAACATCTCATTATTTAGTTGCATAAAGAAAAGAAAATACTGCATTCAAAACTCCTTCAAAAATGTTTTAATAACATTAGTCATTGATATAAGTTCTTTTTGCTTTTCAAAAAATAAAGACACAATCATTTAAATAGTTAGATTGTTAAATTCTTGCATTGATTGTGCAATAAATTAAGGTAAGCATTACAAAACAGCATTACCTTTGGATCCAAAAAATGCAATACTTAGCCAGAACTAATGTTAAACCTACACATCTTAAACAACAAAAATCACTGTGTTATTTGTTAAAAGCCATTTTTAAAACAAACTGAATAGACACTTTACTACTTTCCAGTGTAGATCATTTGACCTGTATTGTAGATCTCTGACAAATCAAATTTTCAACAGCTGACTGAGGTTCAGCGTGGTATGGAGTAATACGCAATAAATACAGAATAATAAAACAATATAAATCACTAAACTCAAAGGCAAGTAGTGGAAGTAGTTATGGACCGTGTGAAAGCACTTTCTAAGATATAAACTAAATATTCCTTACATGCATTCAAACTCCTCAGGTTAAACTGTTGTGGTATCTCTTTCCCTGTCTCTAAAGTTGGTACTGAAATTGTTTTATTCCTAGAAACTCCTGCTACTGGACCACAAATGTATAGGTCAGACATTCACATAGATTGTCTCTCGAGAAGGTCAGATGTCTGAGAAAACACAACTGCCCGTGGGTGGGTGAGTGAGTTAATCATGGGTAACATAATCCTAACAATTTAACTGCTTTAGTTCCTGTGACATTAGAGCACCTGTCGTCAACTTCAATACCAGTGAGGTGTGCAGATCACTTCAGAAAAGACACATATGCTCGTCTTTAACTTCTGAAACTATGAGAACTTTGCCATTATCACTTACAGTACTAATGTTGGTAGCTGGTTTCTACAGTAGTCAACATTTGAAGTGGATCAAAAAAGTGAATCAAAGTTGTCCTAAGACAAGAACGAATTTGGTTTTAGGTTTTAGGACAACTTTGATGAAAGGTTATGATCCACTTCACATGTTGACTACTGTAGTAATGTGGGAGATTTAAGTCAGAAAGGCCTTTATACACTATCAGAAGGCACCAGGTTGCCTGTGGTGTCCAGCTGCATGCATTTACAGGTGCAGGCCGAAACGGGACACTCACTGTGATCTCTGAAAGAAAAGACAATATAATTGCACTTAAAATTTTATAGTTAATACTATAAACTACAGTTCAAAAGATTGGGGTTGGAAAGCTTTTGAAAGACATCTTTTATGTTCATCAAGGCTGCATTTATTTGGTCAAAAATACAGTAAAAACAGTAATATTGTGAAATATTATTACAATTTAAAATAACTGTTTTCTATTCAAATTGATTTTAAAATGTAATTTATTCTTGTCATGCAAAGCTGAATTTTCAGCATCATTACTCCAGTCTTCAGTGTCACATGATCCTTCAGAAATCCTTCTAATATGCTGATTTGCTGCTCAAGAAACGAATATTTTGCGTAATATTTTTTTGGAAATTGCGATACCTTTTTTTCATCATGCTTTCATAAATAGAAGGTTCAAAAGAATTTATTTGAAATAGAAATCTTTTGTAACATTATAAATGTCTTTACTGTCACTTTTGATCAATTGAATGCATCCTTTTTAAATAAAAGTATTAACTTTAAAAAAAAAAAAAAAAAACTTGGATTTATAAGGTCATCAAATAAATGGCACAATATGGGTGAATATTACTCCTACCTAAACCAGCTGAGCATGTGACCTGCGTGACCACCGTGCCGGCAGTTGTGGCACCAGGTGAACCAGTTATTGAACTGTGCGAGTTTTTTGTCTCGTGTGAGATCGGCTTTCTCATCAGCTTTTCCTGTGCCTGATAAGATGGACGAGATGAGTCTCACAGTGAACTGAACATGTTTACATTATGGTATCATAATTGAAGAAGAACTTTAAATGATCCGTCTGTTACCTGGGCAGCTGGACACAGGAGTGCCCATGTTCATTAAGCAGAGGGCACAGCGTGGAAGTGGTTTACGACAGCCAGGGCAACTGGTGACCTTTGACTTGGTGGGTGAACCGCTGACCCCGTACTGACTGAATCCACGGCCCTGATGAGGCATCGCTGAGCAGCTGTATGATATAGACTTTCCACAGAAGTTACAGCTCACAAACACCTGCACAGAACATATGTAAAGGAATCAGAATAAATAAGAAAAATAATAGAAGAAATCAGCCAACATAAAAACAAAATGTAAGTGTAAGTATGGTACAAAGAATTATATAAATTTATGATACATATTAACTAAATATCAAAGCTAGGGATGCACCGATAAATATAAACAATATTATAAATATTATAAATCACTAAATTATAAACTTTAATAAAAAAAACCTCACCTTTTCCAATCTATAATTTTTTTTAATCATAGTAAAATTATATATATATATATATATATATATTTATATATTATACACACAACATTGCCCAATCAGATCAATAAATAAAAATCAATAATACGGACCGATACAAATTTGTCAGTGATTATATCAGGCATGCATAATCACGACTTAACAACTGACAGAAATAAAAACAACTTGATTCTAGCCTGTGCAAGTGGTTTTGAGCTGGGATCCAATTTGCTCCTATGAATGTCAAATTCAGCCCGTTTATGCCAAAACCTCCATGCGTCCAACAGGTTGCGATAGTTCTCGATCCAGCACTGCACCCGAGGGTCCTTCAGCACCTCTCCTGGGGAGCCCTGCCATCACAAACACCACACAAATCAACATTTAACACACTCTTCTGGAAATTGTGAGGTAGACCATAATCCACATCACTTTTCCTGGTTTAACAACACACAGTCACACTTCTTTTTCTTCTCAGCATTTCTCTTCTCTAGCTTGCTTGCTTTCTAGTCTAGATGTCTAACAAACCTACCATTGTATATTACATATATATGTTGGCTTATTGAAAAATTGCTTTTGCTCCTTTTTTCTCTTTGGATAAAAGCATCTGCTAAAAGCATAAATGTAAAAGTACAACAATTAGATTTGTCCAATCCATCAATCTTAAAAAGATCTTAATTTGTTTGCATTTACCTTTTTATTGCTTTTGTAATATACACTACCATTCAAAACTTTAGGTTAAGATGTATCTGACAGCAATTAATACTTTTATTCAGCAAGCATGCATTAAATTGATCAAAGACAACAGTAAAGACAATTATAATGTTACAAAAGATTTCACATAAATGTTTAAAGGGGTCATATGATGCTGCTAAAAAGAACATTATTTTGTGTATTTGGTGTAATGAAATGTGTTTATGCGGTTTAAAGTTAAAAAAACACATTATTTTCCACATACTGTACATTATTGTTTCTCCTCTATGCCCCGCCTTTTTGAAACGCGTCGATTTTTACAAAGCTCATCGGTCTGAAAAAGCGAGGTGTGCTGTGATTGGCCAGCTATCCAATGCGTTGTGATTGGCCGAATACCTCAAGCGTGAGACGGAAATGTTACGCCCCTACCATACTGCTGATGCCGTGTCCTGGCCGGCGCGACGAGACAAAAACATTAAAACCCATTACAAACGAGGCATTTGTTGCATCCAGTGGGGACATAATTACTGATTATAATGACTTATACTGTCTTTTTACGCGTTGCGTTGCATTGCATCGCGCCGCGTAAACATAAAACGCTGTCTGCATTTGTGATCGGAGAAATGACAAACAACAAGTGCTACTCCACACTGCCCAAAACTCGCGTTTGAATCATCAGTGGCAAATCCTCTAAATGAAAACGTACTTATGCGAGTCAGAACTGCCGGCATTTTAGTCTAAGAGCTTGTAACACTTCAAAGAGAAAGGAAAAATTGAAATCGCATCATATGACCCATTTAAACTTTGAACTTTCTATTTATCAAAGAATCCTGAAAAAAGAATCTTATGGTTTTCACAAAAATATGAATGCTTCTCAACATTGGTAATAATAAGAAATGTTTTGTGAGCAGCAAATCAGCATATTAGTATGATTTCTGAAGGATCATGTGACACTGAAGACTAAAGTAATGATGCTGAAAATTCAGCTTTGCATCACAAGAATAAATTACATTTTAAATTATATTCACATACAAAATGGTAATTTTAAATTGTAATAATATTTCACAATATTACTGTCATATCATTCTCTTTTTTTAACTTTATCATGTGTCACTTACTTTGAGCATGCAGAAACTGGCCGTCTGCACGTCTCCGGTTCGGTCTACATAACTCTCCATGAGATCCACTCCGTCTTTCGTCAGTCCTGTCAGCAGGATGCCCTCCAGATTACCAGCCTCCTTCATCTCATTGGTCAGCTTGTCTATGTAACGAGGCAACTTAAGGGAGGAAAAATGACAGTGTATTATATAGTGCACAATGAGACTTGGATAAACTCAGGGGTGAGCGGGTCTTACCTGAGCGTCATTTAGAAACATACATGCAAATGCCACCCGGTCCCTGACAGCCACACGACTCTCATACTAGAAAACACAAAACACACTTTTATTAAAATAATTAACTTCAATATACAGCAACAACAATTGCATATTTTAAATTCGGTGCAATACTGAATATTATTTTAAGCACAATACTCTGATTAGTTTTTTTATTAACATACCAAGACGGCATCATAGGCGCCAGGTTCACTGGTGAGGAAGGCAAACATGATACACAGGTACGGCTTCTTCAGCTGGAGTCTGAGAGAGCTGCACATCTCTCTCCACAGGGAGTTTTTCTCATCAGTGTAGCCTGACAGAGCCATGGCCACCACGGTCAGGTTCAGATCACCTGGTCACAACATAAAGGAAACAGAAAACTAGATGCATTTGCACATTTTCAAGATCAAGGTTGTTATAGTTAACTAAAACTAAAACCAAGAAAAAAAGCATTTCTGGTACTTAAAATAAAATAAACATTAACTGAATTTAACTGAAAATAATATACAAATAAAATATAATTCAAAAAGGTTATATAGACAGACAGACAATGAACCATAGATAGATAGATAGATTGATAGATTGGTTGATTGGTTGATAGATAGTATATCAATGATACTCTTTTTGTGTTCAAAGGAAGAAAGAACAATATATGCCTTTTGGATGAGTGCAAACAAAACACAATGCAGAGACAAAAACCTTATGGCAGTAGGTGTAAAAAACACACACCCTTTATAAAGATTATAAAAGATTAGATCTGTTTCCCAAAGCCAAAACAAATTATGCTTAAAACCCAAACAACGGGCAATTATGAACGATAAGCAAACAGCTCCATATGCCGTATGCATCTATGGCTTTAGGGCATTTAATATTAAACAGCTATCATTGTGTAATGTAAGCCATGCTTTTGTCATTTTGTCAGTATATAAGGATCACTTTGGATTGCAAACAGGCAGCTGATGGCATTCAGTGTTTTTTTCTAGCCTGGATTTCACACAGTGCTTCTAACATTCATCCGAGGACAGGACTTCCTGTAAATCCCCTAGAGGAACATGAACATCTATCTCTCTATATGAACAAGCTATTCTAAACTGTTCATGTCATCTCCAATTTAAATAACTCCCTAATAGAGACAAATTCTATATCGTTATCAGCCAATAGAGCCATTTTTTAACACATATCAGGGCTTATTTTTTCATCAATTCATACTGTGTTTGTTTATTATGTATCTAGTTATGCATCTGCGTTATATTTTGATACATGTACAGAATGGAGTTTTAGTGTCAACACTGAAGAAGTAAAAACAGTAGCACACATTTATAATATTGGTCATCATATCATTAAAAAAAGGTTTGGCATCAGTTAAAAATGTTTTGGACATGGCACTCACATGTCCAGGAAACATTTTTACCCAAATTAAGAAGAAGAAGAAAAATATAAATTAATATTTTATATCAGGGTTATTAATTAAAACTAAAACAATACAAAACGCAGAAAAATTATATAT